CCCCCAACTTTTTTCCAGGATGTGATTGGCAAACGTGGCTACCTGGCCTTGCTGACAGCTGTTTTGACCATTCCTGTGTTTGGTTTCCTGGCTTTCAGCGACATATACCCCCTGGTCTCCACGTTGTGGCTGGGCGTCACATACTCCTTCGCTGCCGTAAGTGTGCTCTTTGTTTTGTTTGCTATTTCAACTTCTCTCCATTATGTGCTGGAAAAAGCCCATTGCTGTGTCGTCCCCAGTTTTTAGGGAGAGCTCGAAAAGTGAAAAAAAAAAGCGAAGTAAATTTTGATGTAAGAAAATCTTATTTAACCACTTCATGGCACAGGGTTAGTTCGTGCTTTACTTTGCACAATTTTGGATCTGCAGGGACTACGTTTAGCGCTCAGTTGCCTATATTTAGATCCGGTTTGTAAATACTGCTATCTCTCAAAGGACAAGCTTTCATGGTACTGAAAAAATATAGCTGAATGTAAATCTGCCGTTAGTTTTATAAAGTGCGTGAAGCAGCAGGGCAAATACAAACAATGATGAACAGCATTGATCATCAAGGTCGTCATTCTTTGCAAGGATTGACAAATGTCGTACGCGACAGCAGCATCTCGGGTTTTTCACTGCATAAGAAAAAAGACGAATGGTGTAAGTCATATAGAGGTCTTGAGTTGAAGGGCTTAAAAGGATATGTTGTGATTTGATAACTCACAACGCTTTTTTTCAGGGAGCCCAGGAGGTTAAAAAAAGGATTGATAATGACTCCATGATAAACCCGTAGGAGAACAAGGACCATATGTTGGTGACCAGTTTTGGGAAAAGTGTAACATTAAAAAAAACTGCATTCTGAAAAATCATCTTTTATAAGCGAGACTTTAGTTGTGTTCAACTTTTGTAAATTAATCTTTTTGTTGTGATCATCCCACTTCTAAACTGGACATCATTACGTGCTTTTGCTTTGGCTACATTTTCCTGACTGGCTGAGCTTGGAATCAAATCCTCTGGTGGGATTATGCTATTACATCAGGGTAGTTTGATGGGATTATGCTATTACATCAGGGTAGTTTGACAGATTTGTTCTGTTTTTGGTTCTTCTCTTGTACCTTTAGATTTTCACACGAGAGAGAGAGAGAGAGAGAGAGAGAGAGAGAGAGAGAG